TAGCACTGATGTAAAGCGTTAGATAACTTCCTGTAAACTAGCTAACAAAAAGAGTTGTAAAACTGTAAAAAGTCAGAGAGAGTTTTAGAGATTGCTGAAAGCTGGTGTTGAAAAATGATGTGAAGCTGAAGTTAAACATTAAATCCAGAGCCAACCATACTTGGTGAGTGTTGATTAGTAACCATCCTGAAGAGTGTTGGACTGGGAAGCTAATTCCCTACGAAAACCTGGTCCAACAAGGTGGTGGAGAATCCGGGTATTAACGATCGCCTTGTTTATGACTGGCCTAGCCGGGGAGTTTTTCAACAGTCAAGACCGACGCTACGGTTACCACATTCTCGCCCACGAGTCCTACAGCTCGCAGCTTACGCCCGTTATTGGGAACGCCAAGCGACGTTTTGGACAAGGCCACGACGGCGGTAAAAAGGAGGTTAGTCAAACTCAATAACCAACAAAACAAACCAACCATAGTTTATTGAACTGAACATTGCGCAGTTATCGCGACGACTTAGTGAGGACGCGCACCGCCTTGGGGAGCTTTCCAGGAAAACCGAGACCAGTCAAGCAGGACAACCGAGACCAGTCAAGCAAGAACGGAGTGACAAACAAAGAAGACAGCCAAGAAGCGATTTGAAAGAAGAATTAATGTAAGACTGTTATTCCAGTGACTGTTTTAATTTCTATTTATCTCACTTCTAATTATATGTTTGTAGTCATAATTAGCTATTAATAGCACTTATTTATTATTGTCATCAATTATGGCGCCATCGCAATCTTATGTCCGAGCACTCTGAGAAGGAGTAATAAGAACAGTTACTAATGACGCTTTATGCCACCCAAGGCTTCAAGTTCTAAGGCTAAGGCTAAAACTACAACTGCTAAGGCTGCGACACGATCTCAGTCAAAATCTAAGAGTCCGGTTGAAGAATTACAGACCGATAGTGATAGTGATACTTGTGTGTGCGAAATTCCAACTACCACTATGGACGCGACCCAAAAAGAGGAATTTAAGGAGTTTTTTAGGTCTTTTCTTACTAAGATGAAAGGAGATTTCGAAAAGGAATCGGAAATGCAACGCACGCGGTTAGATTCGCTTCACAACAAACTTGAGAAGAAATCAACTTCTCATAGTTTGAAGCCTGAGGATTTCGACGGAAATCCAGTTGGCGATGCGTCGGCGTGGTTAGATAACTTTAGCCGCATTGCAAAACTGAATAATTGGTCTTCCGACTTACAGTTGAATGCTTTTCCACTCTATCTAAAAGGCATCGCGCATGCATGGTTTCTGTCATTGCCTGCTACAGTATCTGGCGATATTAACCAGCTTTTTGATGCATTCCGAGAACGCTTTGCGTCGGGCCCACAAGATTGGATCTTAAGCCAACAATTAAGTGCGCGAAAACATCACAAGGGCGAACTGCTCGATGATTTTATAGCCGACATCACGCGCCTATGTAAGAGGCTCAAATTATCTGATAATGACACCATGCGGTATTTCATTGAAGGCTTACAGGGTGACTTGCAGGCGTATGTTTCTTTAGGACGACCCAAGACTTTTCAAGAAGCGGAATCGCTTGCGCGCATGAAGGATATTGTAAACAAGCGCCAGGGCTTACCAGATACGCACTCTGTTTTGGAGAACATGCAAACAATGTTCACCAAACTGATGGAACAACCAGCTAATAATGACAAAGTCATAGCCGCCGCTGCTCCTAGTTCAGTTCCTTCGGAGAGTGATAAGAAAATTAAAGAGTTGTCTGAACAAATTAAGCAACTCCAAAAACAACAACAACAGCAACACCTTCAGGCTCATCAAGCCATGGCTGCTTATGACCAGCCCTCTAGGTCCTCTCGCCCCTTTTCATCTGGGAATTGGCAGGGACATCCCAATCGTCAAATAGAACAATTACAAAAGCAGGTGGAGCGTTTAGAAAATGACCTGCGAAGGTATCAAAACCCACGCCGTCCTGATTTTCGTTCTTATGGGCGCAGTTTTAGGAGCACAGAGGGGGACCCCATTTGTACTTTTTGTCACCGCGTAGGTCATACTTGGCGGGTATGCAGGCAACGTAATAGGGACCCGCACTTGCCCCGAAGTAACGGTCAGCCAGCTTATTCTGGCCAATCAACTAACCGTACCCTTCCCTCACAGTTAAACGGGTAGAGGCTCTTGCGGCGGATCAGTCATCTCCTGCAAGAGCCGGGAAGCATGCGCCACCTATTTGTACATGTGA